TCACCTCATTTATGGCTGTTGGAGGGGGGCCTGAGGGCCTGCTGCAGCTGTGAAGGCCTGAGGCGGGGATTTATGGCTGTTGGAGGTGGGGCCTGAGGGTCCACTGCAGCCGTGAAGGCCAGAGGCGGGGAGAGTTCCCTCCTCATCCCCAAGCGTCAGGGCCTTGCCGGACGATCACGGTCAATGGCACTGCGATAGCTCGGGGAAGAGTGGCCCACTCCGGTGGGGAAAACTTACCTAAAGGCCAGAGAGGAGTGGTGAGTGTGATGAGCCAGCGCCGGAAAAAGAGGACGAGGGCAAGCTGCTGCTGGTGTCGGTGGGAAGATGGGGCCCAGTTGGGGTGTCCCGTCTCCCGGGTTTCGGCACCAATGAAAGGAAAGGAGCGACACACAGCAGGAATTCACCGGAGAATTTCGCTTTATTAGGGAAAGGTGCTGGGTTATATAGGAAAGGGCATGAATTGATTGAGGTGTCACTTCTATGGGGCTGTTGGCTGTTGGCTAGGTGATGGGATTGGGAGGGGGGCTAGTGGTGATTGGGCTTCAGCTGGTGCCGGCGGGAACCGAGGACCCCGAAGAGAAGCTGGAAGTTTGCCATCTTACTGGTGGGGGCTGTTTAGAAACTACTGAGTTCCTGTAAAATTATTCAAAGAAGTTAAATGAGAAACTGGAAATAAATTGCTTACTCTGTTGAACCACATGAATCTTTAAGGACGTGGGATGGAAGTGAATAGCAACTCTTAACAAATCCCTTTTTGGAACTACTTTGTCATTATATTCTGTCCTCAAAACAACTGCTTTGAGATGTAATTTTCAAAAACAAAGAAAAAATTGTATTCTCTTCTACTTCCAACTGTAAGATCATCATTTTTCAGGTTCTTTATCTAAAATATTTCTAGAAGTGCACAAACCTAAACCACAATAAACTTCTTTATAGAGTAATCCATTTACAGTAAAATTTTATTATAGAGAGACCAGGTTAAATGAAACTGAGTTGATCCAAAATGTATCTGATTTCAGATGATTAGACGTTTATTAGATACCTGTTTTTATTTCTTGATCTATTCAGGTTGTGGTAGCAACCTAAGTGTGATGACTAAGATTACTCCTAATGATCCTCATCTCTAGTATTAATGCCCTGATGTAAAATCCCTTCCTACATTTTATCATAGCCGGTCCATGGGACCAAAAGAATACAGCAGAAGTGAATGGATGTGACTTCTCTAAGGCTAGGTTATAAAAGACACTGAAGTTTTGACCTTCTGCAATCTCTTTCATATCACTCACTCTGGGAGAAATCAGCTGTCATGTCATAGGCTACATAAGCAGTCCTCTGGAGAGGTTTCCATGGTAAAGAACTAAGGCCTCTTGCCAACAGCCATGTGAGTGAATCACCTTGGAAGTCTAACATTCTTCCAACCCCACTGAAGCCCTGGCTGAAAGATACTACAACCCACCCTAAGCCAGAACTACCTATTTAAGCTGCTCTTAGATTTCTAATGCACAAAAATTGTATGAGAATAAATGTATATTGCTGTTTTAAGTTTGTACTGTACTTCGTTGTAATTATTTATTCTAAGGCTCTTGAGAATTGATCTCTAGATTCCTCACATTGAGAAATTTAAAAAAGCACAAGTACAGCAACAATTCTTGGCACAAACCTATATTAGCATTGCAGATTTTTTAATGTAAGCCTTAATTTTTGAAGAACATATATTATTTTAGTGACTTAACTATTATTTTTGCAAATAAAGTTTGAAAGAATATACTCCTGTTTTCTCCAGATTAGAAGTGAAATGTGATTCTGCAGTGTTCATTTCCTCTCTCTCACTCTGTATGTTAAAAATTCTGATAATGAGATTGTTAGAAGCAGAGATAGATTATTTAGGAGGGAGGGGAGACAGAAGAGGGTTGAAATGTGATCTCACAATTCCCTGTACCATTTATATAACAAGATTCCATCTCACAAAAAAGACATCAGTGACAGAAGGTTTTTCTCTGTCCACACCTCCTACTGGAACAGAGTTAACTTATCATATCCTCAAAAATAGAGAAAACAGATTTCTCTTCAGCAAAATTTGAAGACCTTTAGGGATAAAGATTAAAATAAATGGGAGCACTCATGAGGTAGTAAGGGTTTTCCAGCCCACTGCAAGGTATTCTTGTCATGCATCCCCAAACTCATTCTAATCCCAACTTTTCCAGAAAAAGGAATGCCTACCAATTAACAAAAGATATAGAATACATGAAAGATAAATGGAGAGAAGCAATTGCATAGTCTAGTCTCTGCTCACAAAAAAACCAACAATGCAGATAATAAAATATGGATGTTACACGGTTCTATAGGAGTTTGGTGTTCCAATATATTTACATATAGTTTCAGAAAATCATTCACCAGAATTTGGTATACATGCTCTCCCCTTGTCACAATGCACTTTTCAGAGTGCTCTCACATCTCCCTCCCAGAAATTCCATTATGTAAGCACACAGAATTATTATCTCTATTGAACAGATGACAAAAAGTTTGAAGAGGATTTTCTCAAGGTCAGCTAGTTAGTGGTAGGAAAGAGCCTTTAATTCAGGCCTCCTGGAATCCAATATTGAGTCTTTCTCTATGGAAAGCACTAGGCAAATGTTAAGGACTTAGAAAGTTAATTTAAGAACACTATCCTAGGTTTTAACTCACTTTTACATTATTTATTATTACTTCAAAACATTTGATGTGAAGTTTTTAATCTTCTCTTTTATAAAATGAGATTATTATTCTAATACTCTCTAATCCACGGAGGTCCCTCTATTACAAATGATTAGTCCACCAGTAAAAAGAAAAGCCTACATATAAAAGAAAGTTTCTTCATCTATCTACACATACATTGACTAAGGATTTGTATTTGCAATCATTACATTTTGACTCTTCAAGTAACCCTTTGAAGGATGAGGAGAATGGAGGGGAAGAGAGAAACTGTCATTTCTGGCTTTGACAAGTGATCAGAAATAGGTCATGAATAGAAAAGTGAAACAGTGAATACTAGGTATTACCCAACTAGAATATAACTGGCAGGTTAGGTGGATAAGATGAGCAAAGTATGATGGACAGGATTATACAAGCATCTAGAATGATAAGATTAAAGCAATAACTATGAAAAATTATGCCCTTTCAGGTCAAGCTTAAATGGCTCTCCTTCCACAAAGACTACTCTTTTGGAACAAAATTGTGTTCTCTAAAATAACAGTACCTTTCCTGCAGCCTTCATCAGGCCAAAGGTACTCATGACTTTGTACAAGGAGATTCTAATCTCCTTAAGGCGGGGTCTTTGGTGGGCTCACACTTGACTCCTATAGTTTTTAGTACCAGGTGGGAGGTGGAGGACAGGGAGAGGATGAAGGGAAGGGGGAGATGACTTCAGTATTTATTTAATGTCTACTGTGAGCTTGACATTTTTGCTAGACACTTTGTGTCACCTCATGAGGAAATTGCAGCTTGTATAATCCTGTCCATCATACTTTGCTCGTCTTATCCAAAATCATGCAACTGATAGGTGGTAAACTCAGGACTTGAACATAGTCTTTTCTTCTTCTAACACTGGTACTGAACTTACTAAGTACCTGGTGGAAAATTACAGTATGGCATTTAGAAAGGACTGAAAGAAGGCATTTCACAGGCCCTTGCAAGAATTTCTTCCATAAAATTATGATATGCAAATACATAAAAGATTTTGCATACCATTTCTGGGGGATCACAGAGCCCCCAGTGCATTCAAGGGCTGGCTAAGGAACCATGGAAACCAAAGTGAGAACCTCTAGATTACAGTATCCCAAGGCACCCTCTTCCACAATCTAAGAGCAATCAAAACCAGAGAAAATTTAAACACATGAAAAGTTTACTTGGGAGCAATAAATGCAAAATTCCAATACTATACTAGTTTAAAATGTCATGAAGAACTTGAATAAGGAGACCTGAATGTCATTTAACAATCCTTAAATTTCAGTTATACCTTCAGACCATACATGATGTGAGACTAGGAGATGAGGTTGTAAGAACTCATCACCGAGGGAGTAAAATTGCTAAAAATCAAACTGAATGGAAAATCCCAGTAAGTATACCACCTCTTAGGGGAAGAGAGGTTTATTTCTATCATTTTGCCTGAGGAATTTTTCTTGAAAAATTTTTTTAGATTTTGGGGTCTAAATAAAATATTTAAAATGAAGTTGTGTGGTTTTTATTTATACCCTATACTGTTTCAGAGAGGATTTAAGATAGCATATAGGCTTAGAGAAAATATAATACATATTATGAGTTACATGTAGGAAAAAATAAAGATACTTAAAATAGATCCAGGAATGGAGCTGATTTTAAAACATGAACGTATATAGTGATTAGGCCTTTACTACCTCAAGGTAAATTTTTAAAAATTATGTAGCACTGAGAGTTTTATGTATTAAGTATATATTTTTCATAATTTATCAAATATCTTTATACACGTTATCTAATTTGATTCTAAATTGACTTTGTGAGGCAGTTATACACATTTTCCTGATAAGGAAAATGAGGTGCAGAAAGGGCTTGAAAATCAAATCTTTGCTCTTTTCATTATACTGCTAGTTCTAGACAACCAACTGTTACAGTTCTTGTGCCTCTCAGGTACTGAGTAATGCATCTCAGTTCTGTGCATGAACAGTATAATGTTTAACTCCTGTGGCCCTGACATTGTCACAAAAGGATTACTACCTACTTTACAGTTGACTTTGGGTCTGGAGGTTGAATAGACATAAAATTAAAGGTCTTCAGACTTGGAACAAACCTTCTAGCTAACAGTTACCTCCTTCACTTACAGATGAGTACACTGAAGCTCTAAGAGGCCAAATCATCCAATCAGTGGCAGGGCCAAGACAAGAAGCCAGGGTCCCTAAGTTCTTTAATTTATACCACATTGCCTCTATAGCTGTATATCCATTTCTGACTTTTTACATTCCCAATTCTGAACTTTTTTCTCCTTACAGCTTCCCTTGTGTCCACTGGGTAAAGTTCTATATGCATATTACATGGCTGCAAGACCCTGCATGATCTGGCACCAGTGATTTCTCCGGCTGCTCACCTCCTCTAACTGTATGGGAATGCTCCTGATTCACAAAGATACTACTAGCCTTTACTTCCTGAGAAGTTGTCCTGTTGAGCCTTTGAGTAATGGCTGTACCTCTGAGACTAGAAACTGAGGTTTTTGCTGGAGGGAAGGTACATTCAAGTTGTCTATCACCCAGTAAAGACCTGGGTGAAGGCACTCAGATGGGAGGACAGACAAATGGCCTCTAGAACCTGGAGACTTTAGGCAGGGGTCCCCCGTCCTCCAATTCAGAATGAGCGAAATAGACAAGGCAATTTCAGGGAACTTCTCATGTCAAAGTCTTGTGTGCTATCCCTGAACCTTTAGTAAAATCCCCTCCAAACACCCCAGAAAAAGATTTCACTGTAGGCAAGGCCATTCAAACCATCGAGCAACCAACCACAGCCAGGTCAGTGTGAAGGCGCCAGTAGAATTACATTATGAGACCCCCAAAGGGAGAGAGTATCAGGCAAGAGAAACTAGGGCCACTAAATCCCAGTGATTTCTCCTTTCACTGCAAACATTAGAGGATATGGGTTAGTAAATAAGCTTCCTTATGCAACTTTAAATTCCCCAGATTCCATGAACTTTGCACATTCTGTTCTTTGTGCCCAAACTTCAGTTCCCTCCTTTTTTTCTTCCGACAAACTCTTACTCATCGTTCATATTCCTGATTCAGACATCATATTCTGTAGACAACCTATCCTGACACCTAAACTAACTCGGTCCTCTATCTCCTCTTCTAAATCTGGGCTCCCTTCGAATAGAGACTGCCTTTAGTTGCAACACCTAATAGTGCAAGAAACTATGTACTCAATAAATAAAGGTCTACTGAATGAACGAAAGTTTGTTTTTTCAAGTATTTCCCAATAGGTAATTCATGAATACTGCAAAATATTTATTAAACTGCACACACAAAAGTGAAGCGAAAAACAGATCTTTCCTCCAATCCATCCACTCCCCTTGGCGCCAGCTGTTTCCTTCCAGGTTAATTATGCACGTATGGGTATTTAAACTTATTTCTCACTTTTTTACACAACGGTAAAAAATAATTTATAAATACACATACAATTAATATATTTTAGCTAATTGTTATGTATCTTGGACATAAGTAATACATATAAAATAAATACGTATTTATAAAGAGTCCTGTGTCTTATTTTCGCTTGAATTAGGCGTTTTTATAAAAATCACGAGCCGCGTATAATTCCACCGTAGGGGCACACAAAGATTTACTTCATGTTCCGTGATTTACGGTTTCCAATTTACAAATACATCTATTTTCACTGTCAAGCGCGGTCCCTAAACACATCCTCCCAGTCGTATAACCCACCCTCTACCGGCTCCCGCATTTTCAAACTCCTTCCCACGAGCTCACGGCGGATCCCGGCACTGAACGCGACCTCCGCCCACACGCCACGTGCTCGCGGGCGGAAGGACGCGGTGGCGGCGCGCGGCGCGGCCTCGGAACCGAACCCTTCCCTCCTCGCGCGTCTCCCGGCCGCCGGGGTTGCCGGCCCAAACATGCCGGAACTACAGGAGCCAGGCCTTGTGCAGCGCTGCGCCAACAAGGCCAACCGGCCGATTAGGAGCTGGCCGATTAGGCGCTGGGCAGGGCTCCGGCGGGGAGGGGCGGGGCTCCGGGCAGCGGGGCGCGGCCGGCGTGCGGAGCACCTCCTCTTTCCTCCGGCCGCGCTGGCGGCCGCAACACTTCCGGGTCGGTGCGCTGGCGGGGCGGCGGCGCTGCGGGAACTGTTATTGTTCGACAGAGCCCGGCGGTGCGCTGTACCCCTCGGCTCCTGTCAGTTTGTCTGGCTTCCTCTTGGCCCTTGACTTCCGGAGGCTGACGGCGACTGCTGCGGCGGGCGGGGCCTGGCGTTTCGAGGTCGAGCGGCGCCGGGGTGAGGGGCGCGGAGGAGGAGGAGCAGTCAGAGGAGGAGGAGCCGTGTGCCCTGGCACCGAGCGGCCGCGGCCATGGCGTACGCCTATCTGTTCAAGTACATTATCATCGGTGACACAGGTGAGGGCCCGGGGCGCGGCTGGGAGGGTGTCGGCGAGCTGAGAGGCAGACGGCGCCTGGCCGCGGGGCTGTGGCCGACGCCGCCCGGCGCCTGCTTCCCGGTCGCGCCGCTCCATTTCCGCAGTGCTGGAGCTGGTGACGTGGGCACTGCGAGCGGCCGCGGCCTGGCCAGGCCCGGCCCGCCCTGCAGCTGCGGACCGCGGCGGCCGTTTGCGACGCCCCATCCGGGAAGTGTATGACAGGAGGGACACCCAGCCCGGGTCCTTCAGGGTCCGACCCAGATGATTGCACTCCCTTGCCAGGGCCCTCACCTTAGGCCTTTTCACCTCTCTGAGAAAGAAAAAAGGAGGCAGAGGAGAGCAGAAGGTGATGGGAGAGGGTCTTGGGTTTTCTGATATGAGTCCATCTTCCCTGACCTACTTGTATCTGCCGAGGCCTGCGCAGAACGCTCCCCTGTATAGGATAGTCAGCTTAAAAGGAGAAGGAAACCTTTGTTCCAAAAAAATTTGTTTTTGAACACCCTTAATTTCCAAGTTGGAATAAATCACATCCATTACTTGAGGACTGGTGAGTGCCATTCGAGGCCATTAAAGCATGAAAGAGTACTGAAGATTTGTGCCACGTGTAAACGGGGTTATTTGATAGTAATCCAAGGCCTTCGGTGCTCCCTGTGTGTGTATTGCGGAGAGACACTTTGATTCTTTTTTGGGTATATTAAAATATAGAGTGACAACTGCCAGTTTTCAGGAGACCTGGTGTCCGTTTGTAGCAGAAAAATTCAGTTATTCTCACTTAAAATAACAGCCGAGTTTAATTCACAGATAAGTAAACAAACTCTTTGTAAAATATGTTTCAATACCTGTGGTTTGGACATTACTTTGATTTTAATAATAAAAACTAAGCCTTGTTCAGGTGTTAACAACTATTTATATACCAGAGTCTAATTTCAGTGATGAGTCTTGCACAACTTTGGACCCTTTGCACAACTTTGGAAATGTAAGCAGCAGCTTGTGGTTGCACTAGTGATGTAGCAAATTCAATAAGTAACACAAGAAGCATGTTGATTGCTGCCTAAAAGAAAAACTTCTGCCATAAATAGTTTTTCAGCAGAACTTGGTGTGTCTGTATGGAAAGCAGCTGCTTTCTTAGGTAAAATCCTGGGTAAAGCAATGTTTTGCACATGTTTAGTAGGATATGTTCTTTTTTAAATGCTGTGGCATGTTTTGAAGGTGAAGTAAGTGGGGTTGTAAAGCCTATTAATCAAAAGCAACGTTTGACTTAGGCTGTAAGATGGAGATTGGAGAGGGAATCCCCCTTATGATATGAGTGGATTTGTGAAGTATAAGAGTGGTTGTGAACATTTAGCCTTTAGTCAAGATGTAAGTTATCCTTTGCAGGTTGCCTTCTTTCATCTTACTTACTGAGCACGTACAATGGGAAAAGTATTGTGCTGAAAGTAGTGGGGCTGCAAGTATTTAACAAGTTGGTGCTCTGTTCTCTTGGAATTTGCCAGCTTTCAAAAAAAATTCCCAGGCATTTCAAGAGAAGATACTCCTTCTTTGCCATTGCTGTTGTTACCACCTAGTTTGAGCACTGAATATTTGACACTAGACTGTATACGGCAGTACTTCACCACTCTAGTTCAGCCAGTACAGTTTAGCATCAGATTAATCTTCCCCAAACACAGCCGTTAGGAGGCTGTCCATTTGCTCACATTCTTTAGTTTGACCTTCAAGAATCTCCTTATTTTAGTAAGTCTTCTCTAGCTTTCTTTCCCACTCTTCACTATTAAATGCCTCTGCCAGTGAGGCCCAATGGTTGATTTCTGTGCCTTTTCCTGGTTGCTGCTCCGTTGACTTGGAGCGCCTTCTCTGGAAATTCTGTCAGCCCTTCCCAACTGAACCTAAGGCCTTCCATAGTGTTTTCAGGGTTAACATATGTTAAGATCTCTTGCTTTGTCTGGCTTTTCCCGGTATCCTGGATGGAAGTAACTATGCATCTGGATGTACCTCACCTTGTATCACTCTGCTGTTAATCCCAACTATTTTATAGATAATCATATAGGCCTCTATATTGGACTATATGCTTTTGAGAGCAGAAAAGGTGTATTGTGTGGCTATATTTCAGGAAGAGCTTAGTAGAAGGTAGGCCCTATACATTTAATTAAATTGCCAAAAGAATAGCTAAACAGACCTTTATGTTCCTATTAATATACATTAATAATTTGAGAGCAGGATTTTTTTAGCCTAATTCTGCCACTTTCTTACTGTTGACTTTGGCCAAAATCCTTTACCATGTTTCCTTAATTCAAAGTATACCTATAATTGTGGTGTGGCCCTGCCCACAAAAATATATTAAATTAGTAGTGTAAGATTCATCTTGACAATTTTAAAAGTCATAGTGTGAAAAACATGCATCTTAGAATGAAGGAAATTGCTTTTACTGTTTCTCACTTTCCCTAGCCTATAAAAGTCATTTTTAGCCTTTCCTTCTTTCAGTAGTGAGATAAAATGAAGTCACATGTGAAAGTACCATACATATTTTACTTTTTAGATTTTTTTTCATTGAAGAGATTTTTAGTACTTTCATGATGATACCATTGTATTTGTTTTCTTACTGTGTAGCTAAATGCAGTTAAAATAAGACTTTTAATTTTTTTGTTGGTATTGTCTTGTTCCTGAAAAATCACTTAGGAAAATGTGTCATTTAAATCCAGATATAAAATGGAAATAACAAGCCTGGCCTAATATAAACAGATAATTATTGAGTATAGGAGGAGAGAAAAATTGTAGTAAACCTGTAATTGTTGCCCCTAAAATTCTGGCATCTGCCTGTAATTTTAACCTCATCACTAACCTTCCCTCCCATTCCCTGCTACATAAACTAGGCACATAAAAACACAAACCCAGATGTATTTTTTTATTAAGGTATCATTGATATACAATCTTAAGAGGGTTTCACATGAAAAACATTGTAAAACTAGTTGTATTCTATCTGAAATGCCCCTTCCTGTTGTGCCTACCGCCCTGCACCCCACCCTCCTCCCAAAAAAAGGTGAGGTCAAAACTTTTCCACCTGTCCAACCCTGTTCTCCCATTCCCTTAGGGTGATAGCAAGCCCCACCTATCCTTATTCCTCTATACTGGTCCCCTCTACTCTTCCCTCTCTGTTATCCTTCTGCTCACTCCCACATGCTTTTCTATTCTTTTCTTTTCTTTTCTTTTCTTTTTTTCTTTCTTTATTATTTTTTATTTTTGAGAGGGCACCTCTCATATTTATTGATCAAATGGTTGTTTACAACAATAAAATTCTGTATAGGGGACTCAATGCACAATCATTAATCAACCCCAAGCCTAACTCTCAACAGTCTCCAATCTTCTGAAGCATAACGAACAAGTTCTTACATGGTGAACAAGTTCTTATATGGTGAACAGTGCAAGGGCAGTCATATCACAGAAACTTTCGGTTTTGATCACACATCATGAACTATAAAGAGTCAAGTCAGATATGATTATTCATTTGATTTTTATACTTGATTTATATGTGAATCCCACATTTCTCCCTCATTTTCTTCTTTTTGTTAGATAAAATGCTGAAGTGGTAGGTAGATGCAAGATAAAGATAGAAAGCATAAATTAGTGCTGTAAGAAGACAAGTGTAGATGATCAGGTCTGTGCCTATAGACTAAGTATTAATCCAAGCTAGACAAGGGCAACAAAACATCCACGGATTCAGAAGATTCCTCTCAAAACGGGGAGTGAGGTTCTAAGCCTCACCTCTGTTCACCCCCAATTTCTCACCTGATGGCCCCCCTGC